GTCAGTAACGATGAGGGGTTATAAACGAAAACATAACCTCTCTTAGAAGTTAATGAAAAGTTATTTTTAGTAATTAAAACACTGTCATAGGTAAAGTAGTATACACAACCCGCATAAATAGTGTTAACGACACGAGTAGAAAATTTAAGGTAGGTACGCACCTTCTATTACATAACAAGTTTAGATGTACACTACTAGGAAACAAAACAATAGTAGTTTTCATTACTAGACTGGAAAGTGACTCATTGCGGGGAGAGATGGCATTTTCGCGCGAGGCGAAGCCGAGCGCTGGAAACGCCATCGTGCCCCGCAATGACACTTTCGAGGCGAGTATTGAACATTATTTTTCATTACGATACCGAAAACTTATAAAAACATGAAAATTTTCGTTTATTTAACTTAGTATTAAGAGAAAAAACCGAACTAATGAAAAAAAACTCAACTCTGAATTATTAATAAGTGCACGGAAAAAACTCATAACGCTAACTTTCCGTGTGTATGTACCTCGACATAAGCACGGAAACTTAACGTTATGAGTTTTTTCCGTGCACTTATTAATAATTGCATGGCCAATAGTTTGAGGAAAAACAGACTATTTTGGGTAAAAAAAAGTATCTTTATTAAATTAACTACAGAACAAGCTGATGAATAAACAAATAAAGAAAGAGACCTTTGATGATTACATAGGATCAACACGCTGATAAATCTTTATTAATGAAAATGAAAATGTATGTTAAAGTCGCAGTTTTGATTTTCACTTATGTTTAACATTTTTTTTGGTAGCTTTAGGTTTTTTCTCATTTCTGCAACATTGACTTCCGAGTGTGTTCCATCAACTTTATTATTTTCTTGAATGAAATTGCGATTTTGCACAGTATCTTCTTCTGATGAAATTACATCGTCGATTGTAAAATATTGTTTTGAAACCAGATTCACCTCTTCATCATTGTTAGAAATGTTATTGAGTGGCAGTGAATCCAAAGAGGAATTGTTGTAATTTGAAATTGAATTAGTAATGTCTCTGATTGGAAGTAAATTCAAAGAGGAATTGTTTTGATTTGAGATTGAAGTACTTGGTTTTGAAAAAAGTTTTTTAGACACATCAATTTTTCTATTTATGGACTCCTCAATGTAACCTTCAGCAACGGTTGCACTTTTCCAGCCTCCGTGCCTCTTGAGTGTGAGTAAATCCGCTCCCCCTTCCACCAGCATTGACGCGGATGTGCGTCGAATAGCATGACCTGTGTAGGATTCAGGCTGTTCTAGCTTAAGGTACTGGGCGACCTTTTTGGGAACATCCGAAATCATATGACTCCCGACATGTTGTGCTACGCACTTGCCTTGCCTGAAGCCAACAAAAAGTCTAGGGCTCGTCATTTTTGATGGGCGTAAAGACAAATATTTACGTACTAGCTGGCAGGGTTGATACGTACATTCATCGTCTGTAATGATGAAACTTCTGCTAGCATGTGTTTTACCATCTCTCAATGTAACCTTAATGAAACTGCCATAATCTTTTACGTCATTTATGCTAAGGCGTAATAGATCATCTCGCCTAAGGGCTCCAAAAATGCCAAACGTCAAAATTACTTTACTTAACAACCATTCTTTGTCGGGAGCGTTGATCATGAACTGAGAAATTTGATCAGATGTAAAAACATTCGCTTTTTTAGGTTTGAAACCAACAGACTTTTTCTTTAAAAATGCAACTGTTTTTGGAAATTTTAAATTTCCAAGATTTTCTTTTACTTTTAAGACATTTTTAACCATTGAATACTTGCTCCACAAGGTGCTAGGTTTCATAGTTTTCGACAGTTCTGACATATAGACTAGAAGTATGTCATCATTAACCTGGCTAGGTTTAATGTTTTCTTTTTGACACCAAGTACAAAGCTTATCGTATTCATTTTCGTATCTTAAACGCGACACATCAGGCAATAATTCGTTTGTTACACTTACCGCTCTGTTCATCAAAGTTTCAGGAATATTATCCATATTAGTACACATAGTTCAAAGAATCTATCTCAACAAACATAACCTAACTGACAATGTCAATATATAAGCGAGGAATGTGTTTTCAACAACAATACAATCAGCTGATCTGACTGCACCGCAAAATCCCATAGCGGTTACTTTCCGTGCAGTACATACGCACGGAAAGTTAACGTTATGTAACTTTTCCGTGCAGTAGCGGGAATTACCTATTTTCTTATCTCATTTTACGTTTAGAAAGTGTACTTTCGTGTGTAGAGTAATGAAAAAGGAATAATGACTTTTTAGAGTTTTCAAAATAATATTTGCATTTTAGATTTTCAGCAAAATTATAACAAGTAAATATTTATCGAAACTCAATGAAATCGTCGTTATTGAACCTATTTAAGGACTACAGTGTCACTAAAAACGTATAAACTTACTTAAGGTTTTAACAACCATTTTGACTTACAAGTTTTACTTTTTTTATGAAGATAAAGTAATATCAACCATTCGAATAATGAAATAAACATTCTTATGGAAAAACATTTTTAATTACAGTTTTTATAAATTATTATAGTTAATGTTGTTCCCAGAGAGGTCTTCACAGATGCAGATAGTTATTTTAAACTCATAATTTGTAACTAAAAACGATGTAATTAAAATATCATTAACTCGAAACATAAATTTTAACTAGTTAGAAGAAATTTGTATTACGCTTCTAGTCAGATGTCTAATAAATGTCAATCTGTGTCTATGATATTAACGACATAAAAAAATTAATGTTAAAGCATTAAGTCTCCTAAACAAAATAATCACAAACCTTGACCACTAAGGCGATACAACAAACGAACTGGACAACAGCAGCGATAAATAGGGTATAAACTGGCGATAGCAGGTAAAGTATTGGCAATACCATCAGTGTTACTGTACATTAGATGCCCAACTGCTTTCGTCTGAGAGAATGGGAAGAAGCAAAGCTGGTACCTTGAGTGAAGGTTACAACTTAGATTAGATATGGTCCCTTGTGAACCTTATACAGGGTGATTGATATAAGTGTGCCAGCCGTTTTATTCGAAAACCATAAGAGATATCAAAAAAAGTTAAATGGTAAGTGCCTTGGATTTTTTATTTAAAAAATTATAGTAAAAGTCAAAAAAATTATTTTAGCCGCCATTTTTCCAATATGGCCGCCAACTTTGATTTTTCTTATGGAACACCTTGTATTTCATGATGTATTCTGGTAGAAAATGTAATTTTAAGACGATTTTATTCTTGCAATTTTTTTCATAAACCTAACCGTTTCAAAGATAATAATGGTTTAAGTTGTGAAATTTTGAATGGTTTAAGAATAAAACAGCTGGCATGTTTGCTTAGGCCTTTATCGAAACTCTTTCTCATGCAGAAATTTCAAAACTTTAATCATTATTATCTTTGAAACGGTTAGGTTTATGAAAAAAATTACAAGAATAAAATCGTCTTAAAATTACATTTTCTACCAGAATACATCATAAAATGCAGGGTGTTCCTTAAGAAAAATCAAAGTTGGCGGCCATATTGGATAAATGGCGGCTAAAATAATTTGTTTGACTTGACTACCATTTTTTAAATAAAAAATCCAAGGCACTTACCATTTAACTTTTTTTAATATCTTTCATAGTTTTCGAATAAAACGGCTGGCACACTTATATCAATCACCCTAGTAGATCAGCAGACAATTTTATGGTTACCTTATTTTGTTTATGTATAGGACATTTGTATATTTACTATTGCAATATTGTTGTGTTTCATTAAAATAATTGTTACCAAATAAAATCATTTATTTATAATGCATTGCCTTTCCTATGGTGTAGTAACCAATAAGTAAAGTATGTATTTTTGTAAAATCTTCTCTACAAGAGCAAACATTTAAAAAAAAAACATTAGCACACTCAAACGTCACCAACATGAAAAAGTCGAGAAATTTTTTCAGATTTTACAACAAATAAGTCTACCAGAAATCCAACGTCAATTGTTCCAAAGAGTTAGGTTTTTTACAACCTTGGGTGATTTTTTTACCAGGAATACTCATAACATTTCAGTTAAGTTTTATATTTTATAAAGCTTTATTGAAAAAATATAAATAATATCAACACGACTGAAGGTAGAAACAACATGTCCATTTACAATACCTGAAACAAAACATGAAGGTTAGGAAAAATATACAACAATTTGTGAACATTATAATAACTATGTTATAACAATTTTGGTACACCAAATCTGATTTATAATAGAAAGTCTTTCATGTCCTTAGAATTGACTACAAAGATAATAGGATTTAATCTAAACTGCATGTATTATCATTGACTATTGAATCAATAGTCTAAGGTAGGCTATTTAAAATAATAAATCAGCAGGCTCACCTGGTTGAGTGAAAATGTCTAGTACAAACAATTTTGAGAAACTACTCTGTTGCAAAACGTTCTAATCACTTGAGGAAGTTTAATATAGACCGACAGCAGTGCTGCGGTTAGCATAAGTTCTGGTGTACACCGGCAGGAGTGCCACGTAGCTACGTAGCTCGTGCACCGTAACTACACGGCACTCCTAGCGGTGGACGCCAGAATTTATGCTGACCACAGCACTGCAGTCAGTCTATATATTTAATTATATTGTCTGTTTGATTGTAGGCTACACAGTAGTCACATTTATATATTTTGCATAAGTTCAAGTCTATCTCGAAAATACTTTGGTACATCCTCTAATTGCATTTCTTGTAACATTTATGTAAACGTAGACTCTAGAGTAGTATATTGTAAATCAATTGTAGTACTTTCAGAGAATATATGTATCAAAGTTTATGTAATTACCGTACCGGTACGTATGTTTTAATTTATTTTCATTTAGATGTAGTAAAACTTAGAAACCATGATAATTTACGAGAGTCAATTCATTAAGAACGAACAAATACAGAATTTAAAATATATGTATTTAGAACACAATTACAGTATTGGTATGTTTTAATGAATAATATCTAATAATTTACCATATCAAAAACTTGGTAGGCCATAGGTTGAAGCTGGAACGGGTGGAGGGGGAGCATAAGCTATTGGAGCAGGAGCGTAAACTGGTGGTGGTGGGGGAGCGTATACTGGTGGAGGGGGAGCGTAGACTGGTGGTGGTGGGGGAGCATAAATTGGTGGTGGTGGGGGAGCATACACTGGTGGAGGGGGTGCATAAACTGGTGGAGGGGGTGCGTAAACTGGTGGAGGGGGTGGAGGAGGTGGTGGTGGTGGAGGAGGTGGAGGAGGTGGAGGAGGAGGTGGGGGAGCGTAAGGAGCAGAAGGTCCAAACGCAGGACCAGCTGGGGCCGCAAAAGGTGTAGCCAACAGTGATGACGGAGGTGGGTTGGGGTTGAACTCGATGGCCTGTATGGGTGCTGGAGCTGCTGCGAAGGAGTTGGCAGAGGCGAAGGAGCTTTCCCCCGCTGGGGGTGCGTAGGGCGCCTGAGCTAGACACCCTGCCACCAGTAGGCAACTCACCAGCACCACCTACAAGGAAACACTTCTTTTAGTATGCAACTTAAATGGCGTTGAATAACTTGGCCATACGAGAGAAGGGGGCTAGAGAGAATGTGTATATGCGATTTGAATTCGTTGTGGTGTTTGGTATTTACAGTTATAGTATTATAGTTAGCCCTGACACACTTTTTACCCACCACTCTTGTAATAGTCTGACTTCATCATTTTCTCCCTGCAGCATTTGTGTAAAATTAATTTCAGCACGCCTACCAAATTTAAACTGCTACCTTGGCATACACTATCGTTCTATGCAATAGTTTCTGGAACCTCGGTGATTAAATCGGTCATGTGACTCTAAAAAGCTTTCTAGACAATGCTGCGTTACCGGTAACTTAAGTATTAACTGAAGAGAGAAAGTCAAACCGCTCTAAGCAAAGTCAAACATGAAGGTCAACAGACATTGACTCCTAAATACAAAGGACTGAAGTGCAGAAAGGATGTTCACCGTCACCTGCCAATCTATCTCACTACAGGATTCTTCATTGAGTAATAACCGTTGGACCAAGCTTTGAAAAATTCCAATATTTAAAGAGCAAAGTCAAGTAAAACATGTTCAAAATAATCACTAGTGTTCCCATTGAACATTTACAAACATTTACTACAATTATACAATCAAGTTCTTTCAAGTATTTAATTACGATTTTCCAATAAAAAACAACATTGTTTTCGATTATATATTCTTATATTTCTATGGCCCTGATGGGTTCTGTAATTATTAAAATCACTTTGAAGATTCCCAGGAGTTCTGGAAAGTTTTCATACTATACCTTGACATTTGACATAGTAAACTTTTCTCTCTCGTTAACAGCACTCTTGTAGATGAGTGTACATTAAAATTGTATAGTTACTGCAATAAATAATACTCGAAAACTAATCTTTTAAATAAAAAACACAAAGGCTATGTTTGTAAGATATGTCGTTGCATTAAGCTGTGCTGACCAGACTAGAGTATTTGGCCAAATTAGGAAAACAAGCTCAAAATTATGAGAGTTTAGTTAAATTAGCAAAGTCCAAATTTTAAATAAAATATACATAGTGCGAAAACTTAAGAGTTTAAAGGAGTAAAGTTGAAGTTAAGTTTGTTTATATGAGTTATAAAGAAAAGTGTTAAAAGTATTTGAGTAGGTGTCCAATATCTATCTATCTATCTATACTATTATAAAGAAGAGGTGGTGTTATTTTTTCGAGCTTGATTGGAAAATACTATTGTTTTATAACCAAAAATTAAACCCAATGAATACGTTGAGAAGCATCATAAGTTAAACATTCTCCAGAGACTTGTTATCTTCTTTTCTTTTAAGCTTTAATAATTAATTGCTACGATCAAAACTTATAATTTACTACTTTTCCCATAACAAGATTCAGTGGACCATAAATAATAGAGGAAGATTTACTTAATCCAACATTATCTCAATCAAAAAAAGCTCCAGTTTTGAGGAAGTAGGGAACTTTACTTTGAATATCGAAAATCAATAGCAGTATACACTTACCATAAAAATATAATACCTACAAAAAATACAAGTGGTAAAATATTTTTTTATCAAATTAATTCAACGTTATGTTCAACATTATCATATTAAATGAAACATCTCAAGACCACTCATATTTAGGACTAATGTTTCTGGAATCAGAATTGTTGACTCGTCCAATTAATTTCATTGATTTATCCAATTATTGAAACACTTGATATTAAAATAAAAAATTAATTATAATCGTTGATAAACAAAATTATTATTTTAACAATTATTTGTTTTATAAATAATTTTATTAAAATAATAATTACGGTATTTATGTAATGATAGTAATTAATATTCTTTTAAAAGGCTTGTACTTCTACTTTTGAGTTAATTTAAAATCTTTAAAACAATTTAATTGACCTAAATTGACCTACCTTGTTAGAGTCCATGCTGTGTATTGTGGTGCTAGAAGGTCTGACTGACGTTTTATACCCTCTAGTCACAAACAACCCTCTCTGGCCTTGTGCTGTTAGTCAGCTGTAACAGGTGACTCACTGATAAACAGCTGATTTCGTTTGTTGTACAACTGTGTGATCCTGAAGGGTAAACAATCCCACGATCCGTTTCTCTTGTATGATTATCTGGATGTTGTGATGAATCAGGTGTTTATCTAGATGAATGAAAGTTTTGGTTCTGAGGTTATTTTACTCGTATGGCGAGAAAAGTTTGAGTTCTTGTAAATTTTGATTATATTCTCTAATTATAAACATTAAATGTAGGCTACGTATTATTGTAGTATCATTAATTACCATGGTGGAAGAAAAATACATAGGTGCGCTATTCCCGTCATATGCTGACGTCACCCAGATTGCAAAGCAAAAAAAAAAAAATCAGCTGATTGTATTGCCATATACGTATATTTGTTTTGATTTGATTGTTATTGTTTTTTTATAATTTTTCTTAATGGCAAAATTGTGTTTGCAATCTGAGTGACGTCAGCATATGACGGGAATAGTACACCTATGTATTTTCTTTCCACCATGATTTATTATCAAACCATCAATTGATCACCGAGTAACTTTGTTAAATCTTTTGTAATACTGTATGTCAGGTAAAGTTAGGCTACTGTATTTTTTTTATGTTCATCTAAATCTTTCCACTGCCACTCAGCTTATTGAGCCAAATCAAGGAGAGTTTTGAATAAATTTACCTATTCTGATGGGTGTTGTGTTGATTGTAAAGGAAACATAATCTTTGTAATACTAGCTCTTTATGCAGCAGATTTCAAGAACTTTACTAAAGGTATTTATTTCAGAAAATGGGGAAAGACTAGTAAAAGTTGTTGATCACTTACCCAAATACTACAAATCGTTTTAAGTGATTTGTTACAAGGATTTGTTGTCAAATTTAGCTTGGGAATACCAAAAAGCAAAATTTGCTAGAACAACAAAGAGCAAATATTTATATGTTTTCATCGATAGCACAATTACCTTTACGAAACACAATCTGCATTTGCTTCTTAGCCTGCTAAGAAACGGTTTTCATTCCCACTAAACAATTGTAGAAGTGAAAAAACGGCTCTCGTATGCCATTATTGAGGTACAATGAAAAATATACATCAAACAAGTAAAACTATTTAGGAAAATCGAACACAAAACATATGATGTTTGATATATACTTTGACTTTCATGTGGTCTGATGGTTAACACGATTTTTTTTTGTTGCGTTAAACCATTGACTAGAAGACATCCCATCTATATGGATCAGCTGTCGCCAATTTTTTACTAAAAAGAACGTAGTTGTGAGCCAGTCAGAGATTGCGCTAGTATCTAAAACTCTATTTTGTACCTTATTTTTTGTTACTGACATAGTTGCTGGGCCACAACAGTTGATATAGCTCATAATAAGTCATTCCATTAGTTTGACTTGGTAAAAACCATCGTGTAATCGGCAGAAATCAGTAATTTAGATCAGCGCAATCTGTAGGTGGCTCACATCAACTAAGACAAATTTGATTAAAAACCTGGCTACAACTTTAACATGGGGATGGAATGTCTAGTTGTTGTATTAATAGGTTAAACATACAATTTCGGAATGCTAAAGCAAAAAGTAAACTTTAAAAAACACCACACTCACATCCAACTACTTTATAACTATTCTTTCTGATTAATATTGCAGTAGGGTTTTTCTACAATGAAATTTCCTTATCAAAACATCAACTTTTTGTGTGATACCCTCTTTTTGTAATTTTTTATATTTTTTGTTTTGAACTCAAATATTAAATTTTGAGAGTTATAGCCAGCTCTCAACTATATCTTTGGTTCAAAATAAAATACCTTTATTTTCGTATATCTTACTTAATTATCTTTACTAATATGAAACTACCTACGTTCTTCTGTGGTCCATTTCATTCAATCTAATTTTAAAACTATTCTTAAAAAAAAATTAAAATTTTAACATTTGCCAGACATTATTTATTTAATTGCTTAAACAGCAGATTTCAACTAATCTCAACTATCAAATACAAAACATTTGTGTACCCACTAAACGACCTAATGGGCTGCCAGATTCTAAGGTCAAAACACTAAACCACCACTTAAACTAATTAAGGCGAAACTTTATTTTAAAATTAAGTATAGGAAAATATTTTACTTCAAAGATCAAATTAGATGTCAATGCTGGCTGAGCTGTTGTTATTGGGTCAAGATCAGAAAGTTTTCCAAAATGACTTCTTAGTGGATTTTGAATATGGATATATGGAATATTTCCATATAAAGCAAACTACAACAGTTATTCTCAATGAGAATAAAATGGACATTTTAAATTCACATTTCTTTTATACAATAAGGCTTCAATATACAAAAATATATTTTTTTTACTCTACAAAATAATTTAGAAAGAAATTGAAAAATTCTATGCTTTTGGGTCCAAAACGGGGAAACCCTATTTTTATCCCATAAAATCCCCCATAAACCCCCGTTTCCATGGTCCGGTCAAGTTGGTTCGTGAACTTGTTCGAATAAATGTAGTTTTACCCGTTTAAAAACATTTTCATCAAAATCAGATCATTTTTACTCTAGTTATCACGCTAACGGTCACTTTTTTATATTAATATATATTTTATATTTTATACGGTCTCTGGGGACCTAAAAATGAAAAATTATATCGGTCCCGGGTCCAGGTCTTACCATGAGACCTACCGTAATACCTTATTCCCTACATGGGAAATTCGTTAAAACACATTTTTACTTCCCTGTAGCAGCAAATATAAGTGTTACCTATACAAATATATGTGTGTGCCTAAGTTTACCTAGTTAGCTAAACTTAGTCATGCTTCAGTAAATATTTTTACTTCACACTACACTATTTTGTCGAACTTCCCACGCAAGGATGTAGTCCAGAAAACAGCTGTTTGCCGCCAGCTTAATCAAATGGGGTTTCATTACGTACTACTGTACTGCAATGAGTTTTTACCAGACACTAACCAGTTGATTATACTGTATTTGACAATGAGTGGTTATAAACATAATCATAAACGACTAGTGATTGTTAGTCCTAAAGTTGGTGGTATAGTCCCGCACGGGCTTAATATTTTATAAACTAAATCAATAAGATTTGGTACATCAACACCACACCTAAAAATCTACTTTTTCAAGGAACTATGAAATTTCTGTCATATCATGGAGACGTCCCGCAAGGAGTCAGAAGGAAATCTTAAAATGGAGCATAGGTCAATATGCTACCCCCATGAGGAGTAAGCGTATAATATCAATGCAAATTATCTTTAAACAACTGTCATTATTGGCTCGGTTGTCCGTTTGAGTTCATATTTGTGGCATTATGTTCTGCTAGTAAAGACCTTTAATTTGATGTGCATGCCAACCTATGCTTCTATTTAAGATTTCCTTCTGACTCCTTGCGGGACGTCCCCATGATATGACAGAAAATTGACAGTTCCTTCAAAAAAGTAGATTTTTAGGTGTGGTGTTGATGTACCAAATCTTATTGATAAATCTGTTGTCGTTTAGAAAATATTAAGCCCGTGCGGGACTTAATATACACCCTGTATAAGGATTTATACAGATCTATTAGTATGGCGAAATAGTATATTTCGTACCTAGGGCCGAAAATGAGGTTTTGCCGGCTCGAGATAGTTTTTAAGTTCGAGACGAAGTCGAGAACTTAAATCGATCGAGAGCTGCAAAACCATTTCGGTCCGTGGTACGAACGCTATTTTTCACCACACTATACCCTATTACCACTATTCACCACTATAATAATGCACACTGATAGTCACAACTTTAAGGTTATGTGAAAAAATAATTTGAGGTATCAGCCAAATTAAAAATAAATTGTTGCTAGGCAACGGTGACAATAACACAATTCTATTGCAATGCTATGGATTTTGATTGTGTATTTAAAATGCATTCATGTTTTAAGTAAGTAAGCGGACAGCTGATTTTGCGGCCCCGGCCTGTAAAAACCTGCTCGGTCCCCAAATTACGATGACAGCTGGCATGGCCAGCAAAACGTAACTTTTAGCCACCAATTAACGTATGTAATACAGCCAAAAACAGCATAGTGTGGTGAAAACTATCGTACGTCACTCGTCCAAAGTGTTTACCGGACTCGTATGGTTATCCCGTGCTCGACTTCGTCTCGCCCCGGTAAACACCTATTTTCAGAACTAGTAACGTAATACTATTACTGGCAGAGTATTTGATCAATTCACTGTATCATTTTTCTCATAACCACAGCAGATCATGTAGAAAGTGTTGTAGGTAAACTGGCATTTCACGTTTCGGGCTCTGAACGCTGAGCACCAACTTCCCACTTACATCGTCTTGTTTGTAGCTATTGTTGAACTTGTCCGTTTGTTCAGACAACTTCTTACACTCTTGTGTTTGTTCTGAGTTTCTTCACAAAATAAGACAACTTCTATTTCTACTTACAACCCGTTGTTAGAACGACTTTTGCTTTGGTCTGAATTGGAAGGTAAATACGAAACCGAGTTGAAATAGGTGCTTTAAATAATTAAAAGTTATTGATGGTGAGTCATTGGATTTGATGATAATTTTATTGATAGCATAATTTAGGTCATACCTTTGAATTTTAATAAACACATTCCATTTCCATGTTGAAGTTGTCGCCAGTTTTCAAGTCAAAATGGACGTATATGAAGTGAGCCACCCACTGATGTAAATTACTTCTGTAAAATACTCAGTCTTTTTAACCAAATCAAATCATCATTTTCACGAAATTTTCTAATCTCGTTCCACGAGACGAGATTCTATTTTGGTCGAGATTTTACTGAAACGAGAAAAAAAACGCCTACAGAAAGTTAATGCAGTACCCGCAATACAGGAGCGTGTTGATGTTGCGTTTTCCTTGCGAAGGCGTTATTATTTAATTCTTAATAATTCTTTACATGGAAATATTGCTTTAATTG